AGCCTCCAGTCAAAAACTTCATCTTCTGTAGGAAATAATATCTATTGTTTTTTTAGAAAATATTACAAAAAATTGACCCGTGTGAGACACCAAACAAGTTGCTTGCCCTAGCAGTGCAATAATGGATGATGAATTTTCAACATAAAATGGGTACTATAGGGGCAATTCAGAGTCATCCAAGTAATGGTTCACTCCTACTTGTCACTTTGGAGCAATGGTGACGCCAATTGGTGGACCAACGTTGCGTAGTAAGCGTTTGATACAATTTATGCTTTGCGCCCGCCAATCACCGCACTTTCTGGGATGCACAAGCTCAACTTGGTTCTTACTAATGACCCACCAGTTTGTGCAACTACAGTGCGGGAACTATATAATAGTCTTAATCCTCATCATTGGGCCTTCAAGCAATTGTATCAAAATGCCAGCCCATAAGTATGTATCGCGCCCAACCGGTTGACCAGCTTGGCCACTTCGCTCCTCCAGACGGGTACTTTCTTCCTCGAACTGACTAACACCCAGATCATCGACCACCTTCAAGCTCTCCACTGGTGCCTCCATTCCAGCCGTCGGATTAGGCACCTGGCAATCGTCTCAAAGCGAAGTCTACGACGCCGTACTTGCTGCCCTCGAGTCAGGTTACAGACACATTGACACCGCATATGCCTACTTGAATGAGGAAGCAGTTGGCAAAGCTATCAAGGACTCCGGCATCCCAAGAGAACAGATCTTCGTCACCACCAAGTTAGCTGCGGTCCAACAGCTCGACCCCACCAGCGCATTGAACGACTCGTTGAAGCGTTTGGACTTGGACTACGTGGACTTGTACTTGATGCATTGGCCAGTCGCGCTGAACCCCAACAACAAGAGTCACCCATTGATCCCAATCTTGCCAAATGGTGACCGTGATGTGCTTCATGACTTCGATTTTATCGATTCGTACAAGGTTTTACAAGAATTGGCTGATCAAGGCAAAACCAAGGCAATTGGTGTGTCCAACTTCTCTATCAAGAACTTGACCAGATTGCTCGAGCATCCTTCAACCACTATCAAACCTGTGGTAAACCAAGTCGAACTCCACCCATACTTGCCCCAAAACGAGTTGCTTGAGTTCACCAAGAAGCACGAAATTCTCTTGGAAGCTTACTCTCCTTTAGGATCAACTAACTCTCCCCTCTTGACAGATGAAACTATCGTCAAGATCGCTAAGAATCACAACGTCTCCCCAGCCACTATCTTGATCAGTTGGGCAGTCTGGAGAGGCACAGTTGTGTTGCCAAAGTCCGTGACTCCCTCTAGAATCGAGAGCAACTTCCTCGTCGTCGACTTGACCAGTGAGGAAGGAAAGCAATTGGACAACATCCACAAGGAGAAGGGAATCAAGAGATTAATCAATCCTAAATGGAGTAAGATAGACGTCTTCACTGAAGTTTAGGTGCTCAAGCTTGGTAATGGGTTTGTGGAGTAAGTCATTTTGTGCATGTAGAAGTGACAGTCAAATCCGGTTTGCTTATACAGTCTTTCACAGTTTGTTTCATACACTTGGACTGGGAAAATGAATGTCTTCACTACCATGCTGGAGACCGACAATGTTCAAAGTAGGACAGATTATTGATATATCAACTAGTTTTCAATTCAGGGCAAACTTTTAATTCGTAAAAACAAATTGTTCGTATTCACGCTATTATTTGAAATGAACTTTGTGCGATAACTACTTTCCATGAGCAGTAGGCAATTAAGTTCAGCATAAATTCGCGCCAAGAAAATCTTTATGCGATTAATAATTTAACACTACAGCACGACCATGAATATCAAAGCAAAATGATTAAGTAAATATGTAGATGGGTTTGGATCTAGCTTATAATTAGAGCCCGAAGAAAAAAAATTGCAAAAAGTATCATTAGGAAAATTGGTTTACTTATGGTGATTATCAAGGACCTCATAATCCAGGGTGGAAAGAAGCTGAGAAAGATATTTGATGTAGCGGCAGTAAATGCAAATGAGCATGCGTACGAAATGGAAATCGATATAGATCATTTCAATACAACAGCTAGAAGAGTTCTATATAGGCATTATCCTGAACCAGTAAGGAAAATATTTAGCACTTGGTTACTGAGGAGGGTTGCTCAGCTTAAAAGGCTGCGAAATTGAATGACTCAGACTTACAAACTGCTTACACTTGGAAGAGAAATTGGAAGAGACCAGGAAATCTTGAAGTACCACATAAGAGAGGGCGTCAATCACTCCTTACTACTGAAGGACACAAAGAATTTTTGAGAAGTTAATCGAAGATGCGACAGTGACCTTAGACTTCATTTTGAACTGTCTCAAAGATAATTTCAATGACATAAGAGCCAGTCCTTTTACTGTATACAGATTTATCACTAAGATGCCTAAATATATTCTCAATTGTATTTCAAATTGGAGTCTAAGACAAAGTTTGGAGGAACTGAGAAATACGAAAAAAGAATGGAATGAAGAGTATAAGAAAAGACTTGATTTTGATAAGAGCTGTGTATCTATCGATGAAGCTGGTTTCCACTTTAGTATGAGACAAGAATATTGGTGGTCTTATGTGGGATAAAGGTAAAAAAAACCACAAGATATAGTACAGTAAGAAAAGGAGTGTGAATTCCAATAAGATGCAAACGGTAGAGGTACAACAGTAAATCTTAGCTATTCATTCATCGGAGTTATTATCAATCTGATTGAAAACAACGCAGAACTCAAAGTAATGAAATTCTTAGAGCGTGATAATGCTTGCATACACAAGCGTCGTGACGTTCAATCGTTAGTTGCTCTGAGGCGATTGGAACTAGCATTTCTTCCTCCATACTCATCAGCTTTGGATGCTATTGGAGAATTTTGATCAGTATACAAGTCTAAAGTTTAGACAGCTAATCCTAGTAGAAAAGAACAGTTAACGCCTGAGGTGATGGAAGCTGCAAGAGAAATATCTATCCACAGTTATATAGGATTCGGTAGAAATTCTGGTGAACATTTCAAGTTGTTTCTGGAGAAGCGGCTATTCTTAGGCAAAATCGAAGAGAAAGATGAGAGGTGGAGCTGTTCTCTCTCAGAGACTCATAGTCTCATTTTTTTTATTTGTCAACAGTCATCCTTTGAAGACACAAGAAAGATACGATTTAGATGGGCATTGAGTGCAAGCCATTCTCGAATTCAAAGGCTGACGTGATTTGAAGAATCATTTCCAGTTGAAATGATTCATCAATTTTCCCCACTATTAAAGTTTTTGGTCTCCAATATGAACACTTATTTCCGGTGGTACAATCCATTCCGGTACAATTTTTGGAAACAAACCGCAAAAGACTGCATGCATACTAGTGGCGGTTTGCATGCAGCCGCTATTTCTGTACTGCATGGAATCGTGGCTAACCCTATTTTAACTTCTGGAAACTTCTACCAGGGCTCATCGGAGCTTATTGAGGATGGAGTGCTACTATTTATCCTTTGTAATTTCAAAATATTGCGGTGGTTGAAGGCAACATAACACCTTGACCATCAAGCACTGGGGGTTAACACACCGATTTACCAAAAGATGGTGAATTCCCATTTCTTGCATGGTGGGCTATATAATAAAAAGGTATTACTAATGAGACTTAGTAATCATTGCAGCAAGTCCCAGCTATAAAATGATCATGTATATCCTCAGATCTGAATACCTTGTCCAAGAACATAGACAAGCTTCTCTTAATAACTCTCTCTACCTACTAATTCTCAAAAGAACATGTCTAGCAACCAAGCAGTCTTAAGCGGCATCCTCGAGGCCGGAAAATTCATCAAGGTTATCCAAAGAGCCTTCCCAGTCATTGATGATGATCAAATTCTTGTCAAGGCCGTTGCCTTCGCAGCTAACCCGACCGACTGGAAGCACGCTGTTTACCAAATAGGTCATGAGGGTGACATTGCTGGATCCGATGCTAGTGGTATAGTCGAGCAGGTCGGTAAGAACGTCAAGGGTTTTGAGGTGGGTGACATTGTCTCTTCCTTCATGCATGGCAATTACTCGACTACAAGAGGTGCCTTCTCTGAATATTTTATCGCTGACCCTGTCACCACCATCAAGTACGACAAATCCCAAATTAAGGACACCGAGTTGCCTGTTGGTGTCACTCCAAGCAGCACCATCAACAGCTTTGAAGGTGCTGCGTCTCTTACCTTAAGTATGACCACAGTTGCCTTAACCTTTTCTGACACTTTCAAGGTCTCGTATGACAAGTCCAAGAACGCCAATAAGTCGGTATTGATCTGGGGTGGTGCTACCTCTACCGGTATCATTGCCATTCAAGTTGCCAAGGAGGTTTATGGCCTAAATGTCATCACAACCGCCTCGAAGAAGAACCACGAGTTCTTGGCCAGTTTGGGTGCCGATCAGATCTTGGACTACAACAACAGCAATGTCATTGAGGATGTCAAGAAGGCTGCCAATGGCAGCATTGCTTATGCCTACGACACTGTTTCTAACGAGGAAACATTCCAGCAAACTTACGATGCCACTGAAGGTTCTCCAGAAGTTATTCTCGAAAACTTGATGAACTTGAGTGAGGACATTCTCAAGACTGATAGCTCAAGAAAGGTGACCTTCAACAAGCTTATTGCCTATACTGCTGATGGTAGAACTCACCATGTGTTTGGACAAGACTTTGTTGCTACACCAGAAAGTCTCAAGAATTACAATCATTTCTGGAACACGATTGTCCCAACCATCATCACTACGATCAAAACTCCGCACTTGAAGGTCTTGGAAAGTGGTATAGAGACGGCCAATGAAGCATTCACTTTGCTTTACGAAAACAAGGTCAGTGCCGAAAAAGTTGTGTTCAGATCTTGATGCCCTCTTTTATTTTAGTGACTTTATTAAGGCACTGGCAAAATTATACTCTTTTTCTTGCTGCGATCTGACTGAATATAGTGTTTCTAAAGTCCATCTCAACCCTCGGCCCGGAATTTTTTGTAGTACGGACAACCAACTTTCATAATACGGACCGGAACTTTTCATAAAAATCTTCTGTTTAAAAATGCACCACTTGTAATCATGAAATTGATGCCAGTAAATGGTTTGCGCCGTAGCGCATACTCGTTGTGCAAGAGCTTGCTTTATTGATGAAGCTGGGTTTAATATTGGTATGTGACGCTAATATGGGTGGTCTGCTGTTGGGGAAAAGGCAGTTGTGACTTTTCCGATTACACAGATCTTGAAGGTATCCCTTCTTGGTGCAATTTCTTCGAAAAGCTGTATTGATTTGAAGGTATGAAATCCCAACAACTCGTAGTCAATGATAAGAGAAAGTTAGACTCTATTGCTAATCAACCTGTGGAAGAGGTACCACAGCAAATCACATATACTCTTTACATAAAAGCGTCATCAAGAAAATAGAAACGAAAGAGGAACTAAAGAAATGAAAACCTTGGTTCTTGATAATGCTGCCACCCAAAAACACCTTGATATACACTTACTAGTTGCTCTGAGTGAATTAGAGCTGGTCTACTTACCTCCATTCTCCAGCATTAAATGTTATAGAAGAACGTTGGTAAGTTTGCAAGTCTAGAGTAAAATGATCTAACCTAAGCAAAAAGGAACAATTAATTCCAAAGGTGCACAAGCTCTAATGAAAGTTATGAAGGATTTTGTAGACATACCAGTAAACATATTGGTGTGTATATAGAAATGCGGTTGTTCTAGATGAGAAAGGGTAGAGAAATTATGAAAGGTGCTTGTCACATTGTTCTCGATCACATTTAAGCACGATTCCCTAGATGTGCTACACGAATAATCTCAGTTGTCGGGGGTTTGGGTTTTTTTTTTTTGAAGGTATGAATACTCTGCTGGCCCAGGTATAAAAAGTTCCTGGTCGAGGGTTCAAAAATTGGAAACACCTTACTAACTTCACCTTTTTTCTAAATTATTGAGATTTTTTGAAGAAAGCTCGTTCGTTGCAAACTCAATAATCAACCAATACACAACTTCTACTTCACAACTCCTGTATCCTATTATCAATTTGTTTGTGTGCTAGAGCATCCAACTACCGATTATGTTCTAAAGTAATGTAACACCTAATTCGTGTAAAAAAATCATAACAAGCAAGCCCCGGTTTATTGCTCGTCCATATAAATCTCCTATGCGCTACATCGTGGGCTATTAAATAAGAAGTAACCAACATTTGGTGGTCCAACTAAGGTATTATATAAAGTGACAGCAGAACTCAGGTATCGGTGTCTGTCCTGGGTATCGATTTGAAGGGCAACTTGTAGTCGTTTTGAAAAGTTTTTGCATTTCTGAAGTATGAATGTTTTTTTGGGAACGGGATTGGGGTTATAAGGACTAAATATTTGTTAAATTCACGGAACAAAGGGCGATGATCACTGTAAGGTCAAAAAGTAGAAACTGACCTGTTGTTGATTACCTTGTACTGCTCAACTTTAACTCCACTAATTGTCGAGGCATTACGCGCCATGCATCTCTATTGGAAGAAACGGGAACAACCCCACTTCTATTAGCAAAGGAACAATAAATTAATCATGAGCCAAGAAGACATCTACCCGAGATGGAATTCATCAATCACAAGTATTTTCCACGTGCCACCGTCTTCTGCTATTTGGGATAAGGCTTCAACTACATTTCAAATTACGGACTTCCCAAACCAGAAGAGATTAGTCTGGCAGCTTGTCATCCTCTTCACTAGATAACTAGCACTGCGAAAATTTTGGCGCGTTGACAATAATACCAACACAATTTTTCTTCGAAGACAATAGAATAAAACGAATACTAGGAATTATAAAGAGAAGAATGCTGAACTAATTATTATTTAACTACTTACGATTATTTCTTGCTGACTGAAAGTCTTGTTGAAGGTGCATGTCCCGGAGTTGTTTAGCCAACATTCTCTGTAATTGTGAAGAGAAGGGTAGAATTAGAGAACTGAAGAACTGTAAGTAGGTAGTCGGTTGGAACTTGCATATCTTAGGAACATATAGTCAAGCCAGTATGTAAGTGGCATTTAATAATGTTGCCCGGGCTTAAAGATGGGC